AAGAAGGAGAGAGCCCGAGACAGGCCGCCTCGAGTCCCGGAAAGACTCCCTTCCTCGCTTCGAACCTTTTAGCACCTGGCGGACTATAAACGCCTTGGTTGTGTCTTCCCAACCCCACAACTTGAACAGGAAGCTTAGCCCTGCCAAGCATGCAGCAACGGCCGAGAGGGACAACCCCGCAGTGTCCCAGTCACCCAGTAGGAGCACCAGCCCCTGCAGGCGAGCACCTGTCCCATGCCCTCCACACCTGGTTATAGCGGGTCCATGTGGCAGCTGCCACCGATCCCCGGACCAACCGATCCCCGGACCAACTCCATCAGTCTGCCAGACCCAACGACCACATCCTCGGTGGCAGTCTGCTTGCGGGGCTACCTCCCGAAAACAAGTGCTGTAACAAGCGTACCACGGGGGGGAGGAGGCGGTCAGCTGGTGAACAGCCTGCACCACCCCCAAATTGTCACAATGGAAAACCACCGGTCTGTCCTCCAGCAGGGAGCCCCACACCTCCAAAGCCACCAGAATAGGGAAGAGCTCCAGAAAAGTTCCGAGTTAGCTCTGTCGTATGCCAGGCCTCCGGCCACGAGTCCGTACACCACTTTGAGCCCAGAATGGCCCCAAACCCCACCGAGCCAGCCGCATCCGTAAACAAGTGGAGGTCCGCTTAGAGACCTCCGGGCTTGCCAGTATGACCTCCCATTATACAAAGCCAGAAAGGAATCCCAGACCGCCAAATCAGCCCGCAAAGGTTGCGTGAGCCGGATGAAGTGCTGAGGGCGAACTACCCCAGACGTCGCCGCCGCCAAGCGCCTGTTAAAGATACACCCCATGGGCAAAATCCAACAGGCAAACTTGAACTTCCCCAGCAGAGACTGCAGGCAGCGCAGCTGGATCTTCCGCCGCCCCATGGCCCGTGACACCGCTAAGCGCAGGTCCAGGACCTTCTCCTGGGGCAACCGACATTCCCCAGCTACAGAATCAATTTCAATGAAACTAAGGCTAGTGACCAGACCCACCGTTTTGTCGTGGGCCAGCGGAACCCCGAACCGTTGGAACACGTGCAACTCTGCAGGCCCTACACACAAGAAATCATCCAAGTAATGCAGGAGGGAAGCGACCCCGGCCTCCCTCCGCACCACCCAGTCTAGAAAAGAGCTAAAGCACTCAAAATAAAAACATGAAAGAGAGCAACCCATAGGCAGGCACATATCCACAAAGAACTGTCCTTCGAAAGTACAGCCCAGCAGATGGTGGCATTCCAGATACACCGGGAGCAGCCGAAATGCGGATTCCACATCCGCCTTCGCAAGCAACGCCCCCGGGCCAGCAGCCCGTACCATGTGCACTGCCGCATCAAAGGATGCGTAGGAAACCCTGCAAAGCTCCGCCGAGATGTCATGATTCACCGACCCCCCACGAGGGTACGACAAGTGATGAATCAGGCCATACTTACCGGGCTCCTTCTTGGGCACGACGCCCAACGGAGAAACCCGCAAATTAGGCAAGGGTAGGGAGGAAAATGGGCCAGCCATCCGGCCCAGGGAGACCTGCTTACCCAGTTTATCCCGTACCACCTGTGGGTAATCCCGTACAGACTTAAGGTTCCGAACAGAGTGTCGTGGAGGGCGCTCCAAGAAAGGGATCCAAAACCCATTCTCAAACCCATCCAACAGGAGCCGTGCCACAGCCCGGTTCCTATAAAGGTCGAGCCATGGGCGCATCACGTTTACGAGCACCGGGGTCATCGTTCTTAGGCCCCATTTCCCCCCTTTCGCCCATTTTGCCTTGCTTGAAACAGTGAGAGGCAGAATGCGCCCTCCCCTGCCCGCAACCAGAGCATTCGTGCTTGAACCGGCACGAGGAACCCCACTTTCAGTGGCTGTCCTTGAATTTCCAACAACAATCCGGCCTCTGAGTGAGGGCCGATGGGGACACGGAGTAGCCCCCACCGGCCCCCCTAAGAAAGGACGAAAAGGCACCTTGGTGTGGGGCTGGATGGGTCATAATGGCAAGCCACAGGCCAATGTGCATCTGATCCCATGACAGCGATGGGCGTACCGCCAATCGTTGACAATACTGTTCGTCGTACCTCCACCACCCCAGCCCCCCATAAGTCCTGCAGGCGTTCCAAATAATGTCCTGATAACAGAACAAGGCCGAGCACTTGTGGGGTGACTTCTCACCCACTACGCTGGCCAGAATAGAGAACGCCCGAATCGAATTCCCAAAATTTTGGGGAATCTTTCGGTAACAAAATTTCTCCTAATCCTTAACCGACTCCTTGCTGTCTTTCTCCGCCACAGGAGGGGCAGAAGAGAGATAATCTCAATGAACTCCCCCTTCTAAATCTTGTCCCTTGTTTCTTGTTTCAAGTGGAGCCCAAGAGGGCCCGACCAGCACATATATGCTGCGCCATGAGCCACATCCGCAACCCCAGCCTCGGGTGAACCGTTGCCCGCAGTCCCACTAGCCCCGACCACCATGGGTCCCAGGAAGGGTGAACCCCCACCCACAACTTCAGGTGGGGCAGAGAGGGAAGGAGACTGAACTGTCGGGGGGAGCAGCGCGGGGGACCAAACTGACCGCAGCTGACTGTCTAAAGAGGTGTCCCCACTACCCACCGCCCCCCGCTCCCAGTGATCCAAAAAACCCAGAAGACCTGAAAGGAACCCCACCAGCCCAAGCCCGAAGCATTAAGAGAAGAGGGAAAACAGTAGCAAAGAAGGCTGAGGAACCAAAAGTTGAGATCCAGCATCCACAGAAGGCATCTGCTGTGTTCCAGGCACCATCTGCTGAACAGAGCCACGAATTGCCTCCAGGTCCTTAGAAGAGAGCCCCATCTGTGATCCAGGCACCACCTGCTGAACGGAGCCATGAACTGCAGACAGGACCTGAGAAGAAAGCGGTGGAGAAGCTGAGAGCCCACGCCCTGGAGGAGGTGGCCGAGGTAAGTGAGCTGCAGGGGGCCCAGGGAAGGTAGAGGGAGAGAACAGGGGGGTACTAGACAGAGTAGGACAGGGACCTAGAAAGGTGGGGTAGGAGAAAGGGGGGACAAGAAAGAAGGAGAAAGGGGGAGAATAGCAGAGAGGAAAAGGGGGGGAGGGGAGGACACAGAGGGAGATAGAGACACAGGGGGCCCAGCCAGAGACAAGCTGGGCCCCCCAGGAGACCCCACAGTGGGGGGGGGGAGGGAGGGAGCAGGGGACCCAGCATACCGGGATCCTTCCTCACTGGCAGAGGAGGTTCCTGACCCACAGGGGGACCCCCCCCAGACGGCAGTACCAGGGTACCCCGTGCAGCCCCACTCACCACCGATGATCTAGCAGCACCATCAACCCCCCGCCAACCGCGGGGGGATCGGGAACGATGCCGGACGGCCACCCGCCACCCAGATGGATCCGCCGGACTCCTACCGTCCCCAGCCTGGTGGCCGGGACGGGATGCAGGGGGGCCGGCTGGGGCATGGCCTCACCTCAGGCCTCCCAGTAGTAGGCCATGCCCGGTGCACGGCCATGGAAGGCCGCGAATCCCGGCCTCTGGTAGTAGGCCGCGTGTCTGGAGCCCCAGACACGCGGTCCTGTTGGTGCATCGGGCCCGGGCTCCCAGTCCTCAACCAGGCCCAAGGAGTGTTCTCAGGAGAGAGCCTGGCAAGCGGGAACGCCTGCCAGTGCTGGTGCGGCCCCCAGGGGCAGGGACCGCATGGGAGGCAGCAGGGGAGGCAGCAGGGGGTGCTCCAGGGGGAGGCAGGCCGTGGGGGGGGGCCCACACCGGTAGCCATACCTACAGTAACTTGTGCAAATTGCTCCCTCAGTTGCCAGCCACCATCCAGCGCTGCAGCAGCCCTGAGGGAAGCCAGGATCGCCTCAATATCCATCCCTCAAGCTGTGAAGGCTAAAGGCCCAGGCAAACAGAGGTAAGACCACTCCCCCCACTAACTACATAGAAACTTAATCCCACCTACACATACTTCCTAAACCACTCCCCCACATCTATCCCCACACTCTTACATGTGCCCTTGTCCACTTAGCTGCACTATCTCCCCAGGGCCTTGACCCGAGGAGTGGGGTAGGAGAGGAGGGAGGGCGGCGGTGAAAACCTGACTGGTCGGGAGGGGAGAATCCCAGCAGGGGCACACCACACAGGCACAGGATCGGGCAAAAACACAAAGCAAAGCCCAAACAGCACAATATAAATATATACAATAAAATATACAGAACAATATACAATAGTCAGTAGTGCTGAGCAAATGAGTACTTATCTGGTCTGAGAGCAGCAACAAAAGAGGGGGATTGTGGGAGACACAGGCCTTTTATAGTCACTTCCTCTGTTATGTGATTGGTTGCCTGTGTGCCTATACAGATTTTTCTTTCATTTTGATAATATTTATATTCCTCTATCTTTGCTGCTGAGAGTAATAAAGAAAGAGATATGCATAATAAGAGCCTCCGTGTCTTTAATAAAATCTTTGCCCCGGCACTGACTGTTCAATTAGTGCTTTGTGTCACTTACATTTTCATGTTTCTGTAATTTTGTAATTTCTTTGATACAAAAGTGACCCCATATACATTAATCAGATCAAAAACTGCAATAACTGTGCAGTTTATGTGCACTGTCAAATAATGTCAACTATCGAAATTGTTGTTCAAAACTTGTTCAAAACTTTATAACATGTTCATGGACTCTGAAATGACCAGATGATTTTACAATAATCAAATAAACAAATAATTTGTTGTTTACTATTGAAGCACATAAAATGAACTTTGACCTCTGATATCCTCTGATATGACCCAGATATTAAAGGGACACTTCAACCAGAGCATTCTAAAGCCAAGTGCCCATAAAGTTTGCGGTCTACATCTTCAGCATGTGCAAACCAACTGCATGACACCCTGGAGTGAATCGGAGTGTTGCCCAAAGTTACCACAACTATACTCTTATTCATCACGTTGCACCAGACAGACAAAGCAATACAAATGGTCTGCACACGCTGCAGATACTCCGTCCTCTGAAATTGTTTGCAGTTTATTTCTGTGAAAAATGAAGTACACACAATCAATTATTTGAAAAGCTGTAAATGAATTATATCGGCTCTTTCAATATCATTAATAATTACAAAGAGCTCTTAGTTTTTAAACATGCAGTTTAGATTTATTTTTTTTTAGAATTATTTTAAAAGTTCAGTTATGAAAATGAACAGAAGGGGGCACTGCAGGACATTGCATAGTGTATTGCTCTGATAGTTCAATGCTTTCAGTCCTGGTTAACTAATTTTCACCCTTTCATCTTACGTCTGAGGTATTTGCATGCTGAAATTGTACCATCCCTTATTTTACAAATTACATCTCTTGTATAACAAATTGCTTGCTGCATTTCCATGGTTATCTATAATCTTTTTTTCTCTTAGGCTGAATTATTATCCAGAAAAAAATTAAGAAAAAAAACCCAGATAGAAAACAGAAATTAATATGAAATACAATGAACAGAGGTTTAAATGTATTTTATAATATGGTTTTTATCCATCTTTTTGATCGAGATAACTAACAAAAACCAAAGAACCACAAAACTGAATTAAAAAAACAAAATGGAATAGATGCTCACCTTTCAGTGTTCTCTTAGGCAGTATATCTTCTGTTAGCCTGTCAAGCAGTTTCATTCATAGTTTTTCAGGAGTTAAATGACTCACAGATGCCCATGCATATGGTAATTTTACAGTTTCTCTCATAGAAAGTTGTGGGGAAAAAATTGGATTCTGGAGAGGGGGTCTCTCTTACACTCTGGCCCGGATTCACAATATAATAATATAACATAGCTCTGATACCCAGCCCAAATTTTCTGTTCTCACCATAAGCTGTGTGTCTTTGTCCCCCCAGCCCTTCTGTGTGTGTTTGTTTGTCCACCCAGCCTCTATGTGGTCTTTGTGTGCCCTCCCCACCCCTCAAAGTGAATACTTGTCCTCCCTCAGCCCCTCTGTGTGTCTCATTGCCCCTCCAGACCCTCTGTGTGTGTCTTTTCCCCCTCACTCTCCCTGTGTCTCTTTGTGCCCTTCAGCCCCTTTGTGTGTCTTTTTGTCTCCTCCTTTGCCCTTCTTTCCCCTCTCCTGTGCTCTTTTGTCCTCCCTCCTCTCCCATGCCCTTCTTTTGCTCTCCTCCTGTGTTGTGCTCTTTATTTTCTCACTCCACTAGTGTACCCTTCTTTTGCCCCTCCTCCTGTGCTGTGCCCTTCTTTACCCCCTGTTGTCTTCTGTACCCTTCTTTTGCCCCCTCCCTTTCTGTGCCTTTCTATGGTCGCCCTCCCTCCTGTGCCCTTCTTTTGTCCGCCCCCCTTCTCCTGTACCTATTCAGCCACTTCCCCTCCATGTAGCATTGCGGTCCACAGTGAAGGAGCCTTTGTTTCCTGTGCCCAGTCTGACAGGAAGCATTTTTTTGCTCTCAGTGAGCACTTCTTGTCAGTCTGGTAGATACAGACGCTCCTCTATCATGGTCCGCCTGCTCGCCCACACTACATGCAGTGACCGGCAGGAGGGTAGCACTATGCAGTACCCTCCCCTCCCCCCTCCCTTTGTCTTAGTAATCCACTGCTTGGTGTACCAGTCCATTTTTTTTTAAATAGAGGTGTATATGTTTCTATATTCTGCTTGTATGGGTGCTGCAGTTTCTTTGCAGTGTTGTATATGTGCTTATATGTGGCCTGTTATATTGTATATATATTGCATATGTTAATGAGTAGTTTGTGGTATTGTGCATGTATGTACGTAGCGGGCCCGTATCCCAAGTGGCACCTCCCCCACACTAACTCACATTAAACCTAACCCCTCCCACACACACTTCCCAAGTCACTCCCCTGCATCTATCCCCACACTCCTACATGTGCCCTTGTCCGCTTAGCTGCGCTATCTCCCCAGGGCCTTTACACCTATGAATGTGGGCTGTGTATGGGCTTCTGGAATTGTGTGTGTGGCTGATATGTCACATTGTGTGTTTGGTGCTGTGTATATGTTTTGTTCTGCCTGTGGTATTATTGCATGTGAGAGGCTGCTTGTTGGGTTTTATGCATGTATGTGGATTTTCAATGGTTTTGTATTTGTGGGGACTGAAGCTCTGTGTATATCTAGCAGAGTTGATGCCTTCCCTGGAATCCACTGGAATCTGGGCTGGCCAGGTACAGGTCAAGGACAGGAGCAGCAATAGCCCAACACTAGTGTGGATTCCTGTTCACAAGTGCAGGGAGTAAGTGATCTGAGGAAACATCTTCTAAATGCTGCAATGCGTAAATTGAGGATTATTCTGATAGACCAAAGTCTGTTTGGCTCTGGTAGCCTTGAGTGCCGTGCAAAGTCACCTCAAGTGCCATAGGTTGCTGACCCCTGACCTATACAATACAAGGACCATAGATAGTAATGTTGATTGGATGATCCCTTTCAGTCCATGACAAGCTGAACCAGAATAAGTTTGATTGCACAGTGCTAGTACATATGTGTCTTACATTACTTACTCTATTAGTACTGAGGTAATTCTGAGAGTCCTTTATTTTTCATGAAAAGAAGAATCTGAAGAAATGAGCAAAGTTATAGGTAAAGGGCGGTGAAAATGAAAGAGACGCTTAAAGTGTAGAGACTGGGCCGGCCAGGTTATTAGATTGAGATAGCCTTCACTTTGATAAAAGCCTCTCAGCAGGTCCAAACGTTGCTTTGCCTTTTTAATCCAATAAACCTGTATGTGGCTTAAAGTCCATGAGTACCTGGAGATTCTTCCTGTTCTCTGTTACAGGTATTCTGGATTTGCTTGTTCTGCTTCCGTGCACCTGGTATTAAGTGGTATTGAGTCGGGTTCTTTTTTCTTTTGCTTCACTTTCCTTTAATGCCAGAATTTTTTTTAATATTATGTTTTGTTTTATACATCATAAAATGTGTTTCTGTGTCTGTATCTGTTGTAGAGTTACATACGATTCAAGTGCTCTGGTGTGACCTGACTAATCTACAGGGTTATTCACTATGTTCAAATAGCCCCATTCTGAACTGGGCAAAAAAAAAAGATGCTGTATGTGGCCATCAGACTGCAAAATTAGGACATTTTTCACGCTAAATAAAAAATGTCAACCCTGGCAAACCAAATCCACCCAGTACCTCCAAAGGTGCTCAAGGGTGGTGGAGTGTTACTGGAGGAAGTCTAGTAGTATGGCTGACTTTCTGCACTACAAATTTATGTTGCCTTTTTATGCCTGTGTTCGCTCTCTTGACAAACAATCATACTTCCCTTCCTTCATTTCCACCTTCACGCCTTACCCCACACATCTATTTGAAACGTTAAATTCACTAGTGCCCACCATTGCCTCCTCCATCTACTTATCTCCCTGCTGTCAATTCTGCATCATAATTCACAGAAGATCAATGATATCCAAAAAGAAAGAAATTGCCTCTCTTGCTTCTCCCCTTAACTGTCTGACCCTTTGCTCAGCCTCCAGTAGCATTACTTTTTTAAATACAGATTTTATTGTTTTTTAAAGTATAAGGACATACATATTTCATTATCTTGATAAGTTATATAAAGTTACATATATATATTAGATATACATGTATACATTCAATGTGAATATAATTACAGTACATAAATTACCTTAGGGCAATATAAAGAAGCCGGGCCACGTAAGGAGAGGGGAGAAGACCTTTATAAACTCAAATCAACTCAACTCTGGGTCTCAGCTCCTCAATTATGACATCATATCTAGGATCTTTATCCAGTTATCCCAGATGTGATATTTTTCTTGATTGACAAAAAAATTTGCTGCAATTTTGCATTCCATTTTACACTGAAATTTGACCTGCTCTTTGATTTGTGGCCATAATTCATCCTTAGATGTGTCCCAGTTTTTGGCAATCGAGCCTTTGAATGCCATTGACATATGGATCAAAAGCCATCTTTTGCTTTTTGATAAGGGAGGGAATTTCAGATGTAATATCACCATCTCTTCCATCCACACCTGTTTCAGTCCTAAAAGTTTGTTGACTTGCACCAAAAGTGTGTCCCAGCCAAATTTGATCAGAGGACAATCCCACCATTTGTCAGCTATGTCCGAGACACTTCTCAAACAAAAACATTTATTATGGGGATATATCTTATTTAATTTTAGTGGTGTTAAGTGACACCTATTTAAGATATTATAATGAGCTCCATTATATTAAGACAGTGAACTGACGAATATACTGTTTGTAGTGCAGCATACCATTCTGTGATGTCGATTTCTGTTTTAAGATCTCTAGTCCACCTGTCTTGCATTCCCTTTAGTAGCTTGTAATATAACAATGCACTTCGAGAGTAATTTTAAATCCTTTCCTAGTTCAATAATGTTATTTCATTTATCCACTATTTCATTTGAGGTTTGAATATATATTAAGGTCTTTAAAAAACTGCTAATTCTGGGGCGATCCTTGATGCTGAGATGGGCCATACGCCATTTCTAACAGCTCCCACTTGCTCGAGAAAATCTTGCCAAAACCTACAAAATATTCTAGCCATCCAGCATTGTACTCATCGGGTCCGGACTCAGGGACACCCCAAAACAAACCAAACAGAAGCACAAAGTCGGGGCCTACTTCACGCTGGTGCATCCCGACCTAGCACAGATCCTATGCAGAACATACCCCCCGACAGGGAGGACTATACCCAGAATTGATCTGCTTTTTCTAAACCGACAATGGACAATGGGGCATAGATTGCAAAGACCTCAGCACAGAACCGCGACCTACCAGCGTAATATCGGAGATATGCTCCTACAGCATACAACGGCCAAGATGGCGACTGTGGAGGGCCTAGACACTCCACTTGCACCACCATCTCTGGTGGGGTGGAGAACCGGAGCTCCGAACCAGTCACAAAACAAGATTTACAAAACATGCCAAACATGCTGCAAGAGATCCAGAGACTCTTAACCGCAGACCTGTCAGCCTTAAAAAACGGTATGTAGCAAGTCACGGAGAAAGTAACAAACCACTGCGGAAGAGGTCAAAGTAATCCAAGGCGAATTATCCACTATGAAAGAATCCATAGCTCAGCTGCAAGGGACCCAACGAGCCCTCAGACTGCAATTATCTGTGCAGGAGGACCGATACCACCACAATCATGTCAAGATTCAGGGTGTCCCCTCTACAGTGACTAGAGAGGAATTGCTACATTATGTTAGGTAGCTTCTAGCCTCTATAATACCACCTGCGATAACAAAAAAAAATCACCGTCGCTGGGATCTATCAACTCCACATGCCGACAAAGGCCACCACCGTCAGAGATGTTATCAAGACAAGTGTCAGATCATGGCAGCAGTGAGTGGTAAGACTCCACTCAGTTTTGAGGACTCTTTACTGGCTTTTTATAAAGACCTAACTAAAGCTACCTTACAATGGAGAAAATCACTCAGCTCTTTCACAACCCATCTGTGCGCAGCAGGGATAGCCTATAGGTGGGGGACAACACATAAGCTTACCTCAGAGGCGGATGATATCAATGTTAGGCCTCACAGTCTTAACAGCTTCCACATGTGCACAACCCACCAACTCAACATGGGACCCGGCACACATAACGCCAGACTGGAGAACCCACGGGCTACCTGTCAGTACCAGTACTGCAGGCACTATCATCCTACAAAATATGGCGGATGGCCACACAGATGCTCTGCTTTCATATTGAATCATTTATTTTGAAAGGTTTACTTCATGATTTTTAAATTACGTTTCTCAGATAAGTTTTGGCTAACCCCGAGCAAGATGTTAAATTATACCTCTGAACATAATGTAGTAGGTATGGGTCCAGTCTCGCACAAAAACATAAAGTAGCATGACTAACTCTGAGATACACCCCTGGTCCCCAATGCCCACATGGTTAGGGGTAACGCCCCTCTGGAGTAGCTCACATTATTAACAAGCAAGTCGCTCCTTTTACTGAAGGAACTGACAACAGATCACCTACTCGTATGACCCTAACATAGCGACAAGCATTAACACCAATCCCCTTTCCAACCAAGATAGGGTAATGAGCCTGTATGATACAGCAAATGGGACCCACCACAGTATTACCCCTCCCGGACCAAAAGCTTTTTACTATCACTCTGCCTAGCTTAGGATGGCACTCTTGACACTGCTTTATTATACAACTGTTCATATACTTTTATAAAAAGTGCAATTTTCAGATATTTCATGTGTTCTGCATACAGTGTAATAAGCTACACACCACGCTATTGTATCTCAACTGTATGCC